AGATCAACTTATTTGCTGATGATGTCCTTCTAATGCTAACATATCCGGTGTCTTCCCTGAGAGAAGTATTGTTTTTGGTCCTCCCTGGACCTGATCTGTTGATCGACACTGTTATCCCTTTGCTGTGTATAACCGAAAATGTTCAATAAAAAAAAAAAATAATAATTGAAGTTAAAATAACATTCCTCCACACTAGTACTGTTCCCATCATGAGATAAGAGGAGAATGTACTCTCAAATGGGGGCGCAAGGCAGCTTTGTCACCGAGCCCCCTGATGTCTCTTGTGAAAACAGCAGCAACAGTATGGAGCAGCTTTATCTTCATCAGAAGCAAAGCAATACTTTTATACTTTTATTAATGACTTCAAGGCTAAGTTTACATTTAAAACCATGTTTCATTTTACACCTTTATTCAGGGTTGCCAAAACCCATCAACTCCCCCTCTGCTGAACATGGTTGTGATGCTTTACTAGCTCCGATGCAAAAAATAATAAATGCACATTGTTTTCTTTTATGAAGATTCATGTTTTTAATTTTATTTTTTAAGCCTCGTCTTTAAAGGACACTTTCTCAGAAAGATACATGGTGGGATGTTTCTTCATTTGTGGTTGGTTGCCCTGTTATAAATTCCTTTTGGTCCACGGTGCATAATTCCAGTTAAAGGATTTCTATACCCTCAGCTTTTCTTTCGTATATCTACTGCTAGCAAGCAGATATATGCAAAACGTTTTTTTAAAAACAAAAACACTTTAACAGTCCTTTAAACTTACCTGTGTCTTCCCCGCGTGCTCCCGTCTGAAAATGTGAAACTGCACGGGCGGCCGCTAAGCATCTTGGGGCGGGCGCATGCACAGTTCACATTTTCGGCCAGGGCACGAGGAAAGACACAAGGTAAGTCTATGGACGCGTGCACCCGCATGCAGACACCGTGGGAGAGTAAGTGCCAGCAAGCTCAGAGGAGTCAGCGCTGGATCAGAGATTCGCCGCAGCGCTGGATCGGAGGCTGAAAACTACAGGAAAGAAGATCGGCTTAAAAGACATCATTTAAGGTAAGTGCTTTAATTAACGTTGGGGGGGGGGGGAGGATTGCCTTTAATGTCACTTCAACCCCTTCATGACCAGTGTACGTCACAGGCATCGGGTCCTTTAAACAGACAAAGCCCGCCAGGACTTTGTTTAAACTTGTAAAGCAGACTGCCAGATCGCTTCTACGGGCCAGTAAACAGGGCCCCCAGCACCCCCGCCGTGTTTCCCGGGCTCCGTTGCCCCTCCTATTGGCCCGTGGACTGGCTTCTCTGGTGTCGGGGGGGAAGCTTGGGAGGAGATCAGGGAACTTCCGTTCGCTTCCGGTCCCTTCGCTGTCAGTGCTGGGCTCCTGAAGCCCAGCAATAAGCTATTGAAGTGCGATCTGCACTTCAATAGCTAATTTAGGTGCTTTTAAAACGTCGTCTATGGAATTTTGGGGTACTGAATTTTGTCGCCTTTTCATGGGCGCACACAATTTCTAACCTGGGCATGTTGGGTATCTATGTACTCGTTAGCTCATCTTTTATATTTTATCGTGTTTTGTGGCATTTAAGTGCTTTTTCCACAAAATTTTGGGGTTTGATAAGGAGTTGCGCTAATATCGTGCAACATAAAAATTTGCAACTTTTAAATATAGGTACGGTACAAGGAACTTATTAGGCCATGGTAAACCATCACTCCAGATCCACATTCTTATGACACGGCCTGTCCAGGCTGATACAGATAAGACTGCCACTGTTTGTTCTTTTAAGAATGTTAATACAAGGAATATGCAGATTCAATATGGAGCAGTCTAAGATGGTCTGATAATATATAAATATACCTATACTGATAATTCCGCCTTAAGTCATGTACAATGTGATTTATATGTTAAAAAAAAAAAAAAAATACAGGTGTTGTCATTGCTGGTCTTCTTAACCCTCCAATTTATTGTCTCCCAAAAGAGTTACTTTTAAGGCATGCCAATTGTCAAGGTTGTCGGTGTGCTTCTCTTCCGAACTTAACCAAACCTTCAAGCCCTCAAGTGGCTGTTGTCACAGCTGATCACATGTGCAGTCACATGGCAACTGCAATCGAAACAGAGGCTGAGATGACACCTTTCTCGGCTGTAAGGGATAGGAGGTTGTAGTTCTGCTTTAAAATTCTAGGTGACTGGCTCAGAAGATCAGAATACTTTGACACAGAATAAGCATATAATAAGCATGTTGATGTATGTGCTTGTTTGTGTCAGTGACTCAAGGTTAGGATACTACGGTATCACTTCATGCATGTGCACACTCAGGAGAGGTCAGCAATTGCAGCCTCAATTTTTGCTTAACCCCTTAGGGTCCCTACACACCTTACGATTATCGTACGATAATCGCGGGAAATCCCGCGATCGTACGATGTTCGTAAGGTGTGTGGAAGCCGTGCGACCTCTACTACTGTAAGGTCGCACGACTTTAAACTTACGGACATGTTTGAAAACCCGGCGAGCATCGTACGATGTTCGGCGGGTTTGTGGCATGTCCGTACGATAACAGCCGCACGGGCCGGTGTGCGCAAGCGCACACTGCCCGTTTGGCATTGCGGTCATCGGAAGCCCGCCCCTCAGGGGACGTGGCTTGCGATCATCGCAAGTACGATCTGCCTATGCAACATAGGCAGATCGTACGTTTTTTTAAGTACCTTACAACCATCGCAAGACAAAAGTCTTGCGATGGTTGTAAGGTGTGTGCCCAGCCTTAGTGACGGGGTTATTTGCTGCTTTACAAGGCTGGTAACGGCTGACAATCAGCGGTTACCATTCATTAATGGATGCCTCGGTATAGAGGCAGCCATTAATGAAAGAGTTAACCTTTTTCAGACACCCGATCCCCTTCAGGAATCGGGTGTCTGAGAGCAAAGCCGCATTTGCAGCTCTTGCCATCACTCTGACAGCTGGTATAGATCAAGAGAGGCTTTTTTTTTAATTAACTTTCAAGAATAGAAACATAATGTATCTATTCCTGAAAGAATGTTTCATTTTCTGATCGTTGTTGTAACAAACAGATTACCTTTAGTGACAGCTGATCCTGAGGGCTTGTTCACACCGAAAGCGGGTGCGTTCCAGAGCGGAAACATCCCCCCACGTTTTGGGGCGGGAGGGGGCGTGGCGGTGCATTGAATTTAATGGCACCCCTTTGCCTCCGTTCCACTGCAAACACAAAAAATTGGGCTTGCCCTATTTTTTGCGTTTGCAGTGGAACAGAACGCTGGCAAAGTTTTGCCACGCGTCCAATCACACTGCGGGCAGAAGGGGGGGTGTGGAAGCGGTGCCATTGAATACAATGCCACGCCCCCTCCCGCCCAAAACACAAGGGAAAGTTTCTCAGCATTCGCGGTGCGTTCCAGCAGCTACCGCTCTGGAACGCACACGCTTTCGGTGACGCGTTAGGTACTTATATGTGATATAAATATATAGTCCTATCTGTCCTCTACAAAACAATATATAATTTATGTGGGTGCACTTTGTAAGAAAGTATATTACTGACATGGAAGAATCGCACAGCAAAAGTGCACCAGTCATTTACGAACAGAAACGAAAAACAAGTTCAGTCATGAAGGGGTTAAAGAGACACACAGCACAGGATTTAAATGTTAAAAATACATTCAGGTACCTTTTTTAAAGGAGAACTATGAGGTAAGTGATTTACACTCATCCTCATAATTAAAGCTGACGTGACATTAAAACTGTCAGATGTCGGCTCTATTGATCGGCAAGATCTCTCCGATCCTCCAGTGCTGACTGGAGGAAAGGACGGGGAGGGGGTGGGCACAGCTGGCTCTGCCTCTAGATAGGCAGAGCCCGCTGTCAATCAGCCAGCTGGGTGGATCTCAACAGTAATGTCGGGATCCATCCCGGCTACGGAGCTCTCAGTGTATAGCACACTATATACTGAGCTTTGGGTCATGGGAGGATGTTAGTATATGTCCTCCCGTGACCCTAAAGAGAACCATGGGAAAAAAGGTTACCTTATAGTTCTCTTTTAACTAACTAAAATGTATCCTATGTGTGTATCAGTCAGCTATAGATCCTCAAATCATCTCTGAATTCATGCTGACACTATCCTTCCTTCTGGAGGGTGACTACTTTTCCTCCCCATGGTCCCTGTGTGTGTGGTAAAGTAGTCACCACTCCAAGCTCACTCCTATGACGGACTACAATGTCATGTTTAGTTTACTAATTTGTACTGAGATTGTAGTCCATCACAGGAGTGAGCTTGGAGCGGTGACTACTTTACAACACACAGCGACCATGGGGAACAAACGTATCCCCCCTCCAGAAGGAAGGACAGTGTCAGCACCAATTCAGAGATGAGTGGAGGATCTACAGCACAAATAAGGTCCAGCTTTGTTAATAGTTCAGGTATTTGAATGCATTTTTAAGGTTTAACTCCTGAGTGTAGTGTCACTTTAATACAAGTGGTACTACTTATAGGAAGGCTCTACACACACCCTGTCCTAGAAAATGTTCTGTTACCCTGTTATGTTCGTGGCAAGCCAATAACATTTCTTTTCTTGTGGTATTCTAGATGGTGAAGAGAAAACCTATGGTGGCTGTGAAGGGCCAGATGCTATGTATGTTAAATTGATTTCCTCTGACGGCCATGAATTTATTGTGAAACGTGAACATGCATTAACATCTGGGACAATAAAAGCCATGTTGAGTGGTCCAGGTATGTGTAAATCTTCTCTTTTAAAGTGTGTGTGTGTGTGTGTTTTTTATTTTTTCTCAATACCATGGCCTCCAAATGTCAGGAAATATGTGCAAGCCTCAGGGCAGCAATCCAGTTTCTAAAGCAATATGTTAAATGTGTTTCATGTATCTGACTTAAATATACGCAGCCTCATTATGAAAGCACAGGGTTTTACAACCTAGACTTGCAGTGCACTTGGCTGTTTGGGGTTGCCCCCATTCCCTCCTATACACTTTCTAATACATTTCATTGTAAATGCCTTTTTTTTTGCAAGTTGGCAAAGCTTTGATTCTCAGTCCTCTTTGTGCAGCTAATAAGAGGGAACTCTCTTCCCGACCATCAATGGCTAGTGCCATGGGCTGGTGGGTGACGTCACAGCTCTGTGTAATGTGGTCGGCCTTCCACATGTTCATTGAAATGTATTAGTAAATGTGTGTGGGAAGGCAACATTTAAAGGTTGTTTTATAGTTTAGCCTTTCCATCTACTTAGCAATATGAGAGATCTGTGTGACTGATTTAATGAATGCAGCAGTAGTGAAAACTGGAGCAATATTGGAGTTATATTCTATAGCCATCAATTGGGTTTTAATGTTAAATCTCTAAATAAAACAAAGAATCTTGTTGGCTGTTATATGTAAAAGCTTAAATTTTGCTTTGCCTTTCTAAGTCTGACTGCGTTTCTGGATTGACCCCTATTTAATGTTACTGCTAGACAGATTAGAGCAAACAATACTGCTCCCATGATGCAGTAGCTTTCTCAATTTTGCTTGAAAAAAGCAGACCTAATCTGTATAATACATTTTGTCCATTTCATGTCCACCAACAACCAGCATCCACTCTTAAGTCCTCAAGCTAAGCCGATAAAAAAAAAAGGTTTGTTAGATTTTTCTATTAAAGGAGAACTATGAGGTGAGTGAAAATAACTCCTCCTCATAGTTCGAGCCGAAGTGTGACAATGAAACTGCCACACGTCGGCTCAACACATATCGTCGCTCGCTCACTTCTCGATCAAGTCCCTGCAGAGAGCCGTGACTGTCACGGCTCCCTGCAGGGATTCCCTCCCCGGTCCTCCAGCGCTGACTGGCGGAACGGACGGGGGAGGGGGTGGGTACAGCTGGCGCTGCCTCTAGATAGGCAGAGCTAGCTGTCAGTCACGCAGCTGGGTGGATCTCGACAGTAATGTCAGGATCCGTCCCCGGCTTCGGCAGTCTCAGTATACCGTGAGCTGTAGCTCGTGATATACGTACCGTAGCTTTGGGTCACGGTAGGGCACTAGTTTGTCGTCCTGTGACCCTTAAGAGAACTATGGGGAAAAACACTTACCCCATAGTTCTCTTCTAACTGCTGTGAACTCCCTTTGGCTGCTGCCATAGCCATGAAGGGGGTCACAGGGGGCAAATAAAACTGTGGTTCTTTTCTGCAAACTACTGGCGGTGGCAATGCTGTTTTAGGAGAGCTGTAGCCGAGGGGCTGTAAAGGTTTTTAATGTATTGGTCATTTGCAATTGTAGGTATCCAAAGACCAAATAAGTTAGCTTTTACTCAATATGGTCCAAATGGCTATCCTCTCGCCCTGCTGGGATGCCTCCCTAATGCTTCTCTTACATGTTGCCAGCTATTACCCCACTCCTCTTTTTGGTGACTAGGTCGCCCAGTCTGCTTATGTGTACTTTGTGTAGAGGGTGCATATACATCTATTCCCTATCTATCTCTATTGGCCTAAACATGGTGAGATATCTATTTCCCTGTGGTAGAGGTTGAATACTTTTTTTTGTTTTTTCCCCATGTCCTTCTCTTTTATGTTTAATTTTGTATTGTCAGGTTCTGTATGTTTATACTTGCCACATATGGTATGTGTCTATAACTAAACAATGCCAATAAATACTATCTGATTTTTTTTTTAAAAAGACCAAATAAGTTTAATTTGTAACTTAATAAAAATAGCGGCATATACAAATTCCGGGCTGCTATTTTTTTATGCCATGAGGCCTCTGCTCTTAGAAAATACATGTTTTAATGGTCTTCCATAATCTTTTAAAGTGCCACTAAACTCAGAAATGCATTAAATACCCTAACCTTAAAAAACTGTATCTTTTTTGTGTATTACTCAGCTGTAGATCCTCAAATCATCTCTGAATTGGTGCTGACACTGTCCTTCCTTCTGGAGGGGGGCTACTTTTGTCCCCCATGGTCCCAGTGTGTGTTGTAAAGTAGTCACCACTCCAAGCTCACTCCTGTGATGGACTACAACCTCACATTTAGTTTACTAATTTGTATTGTAATTGAAGTATATCACAGGAGTGAGCTTGGAGCGGTGACTACTTTACAACACACACAGGGAGCATGGAGTCATGGAGATCAAAAGTAGCCACCCTCCAGAAGGAAGGACAGTGTCGTCACCAGTTCCTGTATTCTTGTTCTTATTGCGCTAGGGGGCGCGCGCGAGCAGGAAAAAAATGCCGTCTGGCGACGGCAACCCGCAGATAGGAGTCAGCCGTCCGTCCGTTTTTTCTTAACGGGCGGACGGCAAGAGGTTCAGGTGCAGTGATCCCACCAGTCTAGACGTTTAAAAGTTGTAATTGGTCTCTAACGTAACTGCTTTTTTTATTTGTTTTTAACACAGGTCAGTTTGCTGAGAATGAAACCAACGAAGTGAATTTCAGAGAGATCCCCTCTCACGTTCTATCCAAAGTCTGCATGTATTTTACTTATAAAGTTCGTTATACGAACAGTTCAACAGAAATCCCAGAATTCCCCATTGCACCAGAGATTGCACTGGAGCTCCTGATGGCTGCAAACTTCCTAGACTGTTAAATAAATAAATTATGGGAAATTACAATGTTAAATGATTTCTTTTGTATTTAAAAAACCTCAGTTTTGGTTATTTTATTTTTTTCTTCCATCCATGTAGCATGTTTGCATTCTTCTCTGCGTGATGTACAGTATGTAACAGTATCTCCATTCTACTTTAGCAAAGCAAGTGCACTGAAACGCTTTGCTTCCTGTCATATATATTCTTTTCCCACACTGTAACATTAATAAACCAGTATGACAATTCCGTGTTGCCGTTATGGTTCAGATCCTACTTTTTGGCGTGATCTGTCATACTTTTGATGGAAGTATTGAGGTGATTCCTTCTGAAGGGTCTGCATTTCCTTAAACTGCCTTTCTGTTCATTCTTTGGCTGCAATAGCTCAGGGGCACTGTGTAGAATGATTTATATAAGACACAAGGCCTGAAGGATGCCTTTTTTTTTTTTTTTTTTTATCTTCAGAGGATTAAACTCTCTGGGAAATGGAAATATCGGTATTGCCTGACACGTCTTGTATGAAACACATCTTTTTTTTGGGGTACTGCAGTTTTTCGCCGTTTCACGGTCGCACGCAATCTGTAAACTGGGCATGTTGGGTATCGTTTTACTCGTTGTAACCTCATCTTTTATATTTCATTTAAAAAAAATGGGTAATTTGTTGTGTTTTGGGGCATTTAATTAAATTTGTCACTAAATTTTGGGGTTTAATAAGGAGTTGCGCTAATATTGCGCAACATAAAAATTTTCAACTACCACCATTTTATTCTATAGGGTCTTGGCATTCAGAAAATATATAATGTTGGGGGGTTTTACGTCATTTTCAGGCCTAAAATGTGGAATATAACATGGGTGCAAAAATTGAAAAAAGGGCCTCAGTCATGAAGGGGTTAATTGCTGCATGTCAGTAAAATAAAAAAGTTGATTTTGTGACCTAAATGTTTTCCCTTCTCCTTTCACTTTTTGGGCCCAAAGTTCTTTTCTTTAAGTGCTTGCTTTGTTTTGGAGACTCAAATAAAGCTGTTTTACTTTCCTGATCCAGGGGTGGCCAGCGCTCATCTCTATTCCCCTCCGTTCTGGCTATGGAATTTCCTTTTGGCATCCTCATGTCTAATGCAGGTCAATGGGCCGTCTTTAGACTACCATAGTGAAAGCGGGGGCCAGTCTAGCAGCATGGAGGGAGGCGGTAGGCTCGAGAATCAGGTAAGTAAAACCGCTTTATTTGAGGCTCCTAGACCAAATGGGCACTGAATCCTTGGGCAAGGGTTTACCCGGAGTTCTTTCACTTAAAGTGACATTAAACCCTCAGATTTTGTAACATAAACCAATACTGTAATGTGCGCCTTACTGTAATCCATGGTAGTTTCCCTTCTCTTTGCTGCTCTTCCTTTTAAATCCTTATCTCTTCTCATGCTGGGGGAGAACTTCCCTTTGCAGCTGAGTGCCTTTTCCTGTAGTGCTGGCTCAGGTTGTGAACCTTCACACAGACACCATGTATCCATTTCAGAGTTCTGTCCAGCATGAGAAGAGATACGGATTTAAAAGGAGCAGCAAAGAGAAGGGAAACAACCATGGATTACAGTAAGGCACACATTACAGTATTGGTTTATGTTAAAAAATCTGAGGGTTTAATGTCACTTTGAATTTCTGCTTTGCATTCCAGAATTATTCTGGTTATATTTTGCTTTCCCTTCTCCCACCTCTCACCATGCTAATTACTTTTTTTTTTAATAAAACCTTTCTGTTTTCATTACATTTTTATAGGTCTAGTGATGTCATCACAGAGTATTTGTGGTACTCTATGCAAGGCAGGCAGACCATGGCTGGTGAAAGGGATGGGCATGATGCTGTAATGTTTTCAGAAAGCTATGTACTGCTTCAGTGCTCCTGTGCAGCCACGAGTAGTCTGTTTTTATTATTGTTCATCATGCATTTGTGTCTTGGTACATCCCTACATTTTACCCCAATTTTTTGTGTATTTTGGTATAGCCCCTAGTTAGACACTTCCTGCCTCTCCTTCCCATTTCGGTCTACACACGCGTTACAAGGCTTTAGAAAGAAATGTCTTTTCACTACAAGAAATAAGGAATCCTATCATCGGTGTTGCCAAGCCTACATAAACTACATTGGATTCTACTCTTGAGTCGTCTTAATGAGTTGGACTCTGCCTTTGGATACCATCAGCTCTGTAAGGTTGTCTTACCGTCTGTACAAATTGAATCTCAGAAGGTATGTGCAAATACATAAACTGGTGGTTGAGAAAGTACTTCTCTCCAGAAACCTTATCCTAGAAAGTAGCAGTGGGCTGAGTCTAGAGAGGAGTGTTACAAATATTATAATGCTTGGATAGGTGGATGTCAGTCTGGAGGAGTGAGTGTTCCTAGGCAGGCTGAATTTGGATGCAGGTAATACCCATACAGTCGTGTCTTTGAATTCTATGGTTTTAAGTATCAGGACATAATAAAAGTCATCCTTCGCAGGGCTTAAAATTAGGCAAATACAACTTTAAATAAACACAAATACTGACACGGTGTAATATGTTATTTTACAAACATAAAGCCAAAAGGGAGAAGTTATGTGTGAAAAGCAAAATGTGTCTGTCCAAAAAAAAAAGAAAGAAAAGCACTACGTGCATATGGTTAAGTAATAGATTAGAGCCTTCCATTGGATAATCGGTTTAGGTTCAGCAACATTATGTGCAAAAAAATTGAAGTCAGCTGCCTACCTGAATTTTTCATCAATGGATTTTTTTTTTACTTCTTCCCTGATGGCACGGTTATATTCCAAGATGACAATGCCAGGGTTCATCGGCTCAAATTGTAAAAGTTAAAATTGCAATATGCACCACGTTAAGTACCCCTAATCAATGAGTGATGATATATCAATGATAATAAAAATGAATAGAATGAAATCTAATATGAACTCATCTAATTTATAGTCCACAAATAGTGCAAAAAAAGCCCACTCAATGAATTTTAAATTGTGAAAAAGTGCCAATGTAATAGAGTCCAGTGAGAGAAAACTGCTCTGCTCTTCCCATTGACCACCAATCGATCATTGCACTCACCAGACTTCACTGACCATATATATATAATGATCAACAAGCGCATCCAAATACAGAATCCTGATCCAATACAGCTGCCTCAGAAAGTCCACCCAAACACTCCCCTTCACAATACTGCTATGAGCACCATAAGAATCAATAGGAGATATGAGGAACCGTGTAGTATGTTTAAAACCGCTTTATTCAAATCAATAAAACCACTTACAGGATACCAGAATCATATAAGAGTTTGAGGTAAACAGAAACCCCTCTCCTGCTGCATCACTCTACTCGCAGTCACTTCCTACTGGCATCCAGACGTCAGCATGTGCCCGCCACTTCCAATGCGTTTCGTCGTCACAGGTGAATCTTAGCTTTATTAAATCTATTAGATTTATTTTATACTATAGCGTTGAAGTTTTGGGGCTCATTCTTCAAATTGTGAAAGAATGGTTCAGGGAGCATGAGATGTCATTTTCACACATGGAGTGACCACCACAGAGTCCAGAGCGTAACCCCATTGAGAATCTTTGGGATGTGCTGGAGAAGACTTTACCCAGTGGTCTGACTGCAATGTCCGATGCCACGGCAAATGCGTGCTGTAATCAAAGCCGAAGGCCATCCAATTAAATATTAGAGCAGACGGGCAGTTAGAAACTATACACAGAAACATAGTTTAAAACAATGTGCAGTATATCTCCCATCACATTTAAAAATTACAAAAACAATACAACCGTTGGGACTGTCTAAAGCTGGCCATACACCTAGAGATTATCTGCAGATTTTCTATGGTCAGATGGAGAAAGTGCAACAGATTCCTCCAACTACGCTAAACTGTGTGGATGGTGGAATTTCCCACTGGTCCAAGCTTCAGTATCTTACTAGTTGGCCCAGCTGGCTGTCAAAATACCTGAACAATCTTGGATTGGATGCAGGCATTGTTCAGGTGTTTATCTCCCATTGGGAGATTCCTCCATCCACACAGTTCCAGTGGGAGATTCCTCCATCCACACAGTTCCAGTGGGAGATTCCTCCATCCACACAGTTTAGCGTAGATGGAGGAGTCTGTTGCACTTTTTCCATCTGACCATAGAAAATCTGCAGATAATCTATAGGTGTAAGGCTCCGTTCACGCTATGGCGTTTTGTCGCATGTATTTGTGCTTGCTGAAACGCACAGCAGAAAAAATACCATGTATTACTATAGCCCCCATTCACACCTAAATGTAGAGTCACGTGTACAAAAACGCGCAACTTAGTAAAACACGCATAATCTGCACTGAAACGCTGTCACCTTGGTGTGAACGGGGACTAAAGCTGGCCATACACTTTACAACCATCGCACGACTTTCGTCTTGCGATGGTTGTAAAGTAATTAAAAGCTTGGACAGGCAGATCGTACTTGCGATCATCGAAAGCACGCCCCGCTGAGGGGAGGGCTTCCGATGATTCCAATGCCGCACGGGCAGTGTGCACTTGCGCACACCGGCCCGTGCGGCATTTGTCTCCCGAGAACGCCACTAACCCGCCGACAATCGCACGATTCTCGGCGCGTTTTCAAGCCTGCTCAGGAGGCAAAAGACGTGCGACCGTACAGTAGAAACGGTTGCACGCCTACCATACACCTTGCGATTATCGTACGATCGCGGGATCACCCGATAATCGGCAGGTGTATGGGCACCTTTAGGGTGGCAACGCTGCCTTTCCATGCTCTTCATGCAGTGGTAGCGTTGTCATTAAATGTGTGTTGCTGTGGTGGATTATGCAGTGACGCGCTGATGTTATAATCACACACATGTCCAGCACCACCTGAGATTCTAAAATGCCTCTATTCAGGCTGACCGCTACAGGTCTGGTTGACAGCGAATCTTGGAGTGACTTCATTAGATGTCTTGTTATACAGTGTCATGCATACGCTGCAAGTGGGGGTTGCGGCAATGAGCAGCGGTGTAGTGCATGGCACTAAAAGCAAAACTGACTCAAATGTGAATAAATTTGTTTTTTTTTTAAATCAAAGACAAAACACAATCATACTACTTCGGTTATAAGTCACTTCGTAGAAGTTTTACTGCTAGAGGGTTTAGTTGTACTAATATTGCTAAAAAAAAAACCTGTAAATCAATCTGATCTTATTTACATGTTCACAGGGCTGGTGCAAGGATTTTTGCCTACACAGGCAAAGGGGGATTCTTGCGCCCCACCCA